CTGTGACTGAGAACGACAATTGTATGGTGAAGGCAGATCTTTGCTCTTCACCCACTCAAATTTTCTTCCAGTTCATTGTTTTCTCTCTACCATTTCAGTGGAATTTGGTAGAAATTAGCCAACCAAGGTTCTGCTTCCCCAAACTGGGCCCTACTACATCACGTCAGCCTGTACCAGCTGGACTGTAGTTAAAGGGGAAAAAAATCTATACCGTCTCAGAGTTATTTTTTATTTCCTTCAATGAATAAAGAAGATCAGGTGGGCTATGACATAGAGAACTGACGCATTCAAAAGTTTGGCCAGCTAATAACAGGAATCTCCAGACCTAAAACAATAGCAAAAACCAGAATCTTGCTTAAAGAAGAATTTGGAAGGCAAGCATTTGTTTTGGCTTCTCTCCTCCCCCAACAGAGTTACTCTTGCTTAATTCTCTCCAATACCTTCAGTGGTCCATTTCCGAATTTTTTAAGATTCTGACCTGCTATGTATTATGCTAGGCCAATAATACAGACACCTCATGCTTCATTCCTTCACTGATACTTGCGGTTCCCCAAGTGTGCCCCACTCTGGATTCTAATTTATAATCTCAGAAAATTCTCAAGTTTCAAAACTCATCTAAGAGTCTATGTACCCCAATCGCTGTCCCAAACTCCCAATATAGGTAATGTTTCCTCTCCTGACACTCTTTGCATTCTGCGCTTACCTGTAGTGTAATGCTTCACACTGCATTGCAATACCTGTACACTGTACTTGTCTGTCCCTCTTACTTCTCGAAGGCAGAAAATTTGCCTTTTAACATGAATTCCCAGAACCAAACACTGTACATATGAGCTCTCAATAAATGCTTGTTGAGTGAATTAAAAATACACAGATACATGAATGAATGAATGATAGACAAGAAGGTCCCCCTCTGAATAAGCTCACTTTAGCTGGGGGGCAGGGAGGGCAAATAACTAATTGGCTAATTAGTAATTAGCCAGTGTACAACAGGGATAAGATCCAAATGGTGAGAGAGCATAACATGAGCTGAGATTAACTGTTTCTTTCATTTATGCCTTTTTTTCCCTAATGTCTGCTCTATTGTCTGTGCTCAGAGCAGTGTTTAAAACTCACAATTGAATGATTTATGGACAAAAACCCTGACATCTTTTGAAAAATGGATTACCATACAAATCTGTTAAGGGAATAAAACAAATAAGAACATTGGTAACGTAAATACTGCTGGCTGCCTACAGTATTTATGTTTAGAGTATCTTGACAAGGAGAATTTCCATACAATCCTAACAGAGGGAGTAATCGTAAAGGCTTTGAGTTAGACCAAGATATTCTTAGTGACTAGGGAACGGGTGCCATTCTATGTTGTGAATAAAGGAATTTCAGAGATAGCTATGATCAGGAAACTCCAAATGAGAAAACAGTGAAAGAATCACTCTGCTATCAAATGCTTAAACAGAATTTCCAGAGGCTATGTCTGCAGGAGGAATATCTCAATATTTGATCTCTACCTTGTTTGGTTCGACATGTAGACAGTTGGAAGGTTTGTTACGAAGAGCCGAAGGAGGCACTAAAAAAACATACAGTATTCCTACAAATCCCCTTTTTTCTAGTTTCCAGTTTCCTAGTCCCTCATCATCTCTGATCAGAACCACAGTTTCTGATGTGGTCTGTCTCTAGAGTCTCCTTCCTATCACTGTATATTTCAAATGTTTAAAAAAAAAGCGATTCTTAATAAAATAAGACCCAGTTCTAATCTTTCAACATTTTAAAGAGGTTTCTTGCTTGCTCCTCCGATTGAGGTACTTGGGAGATGATCTGGGTTAAGTATGAGAAGCTGTAGGAAAGCTACGGGGCCTTGTTGTGGGCCCCAGAGTCCGTCGGTGGTAAGTAGTTTAAGACACTTTTAAGACTGAGGTACAATGAATATTAGAGTACAGATGCCATGATGATGTAATTATACTATTGCAAATTATATTACATCTAAATTTCTTATGTTTAAAATAACAAACAAAATTATTGCATGCAATTGAAAAACCACTTTTTAAAATGTTTTAACAAATATTGCAGTATTATGGAGCTAAAGTCACAGAGATTTTAAAGGGAAAGCATAAGATCTTTTAAAAAAAACTCCAACCTTTTGATGGCCGCTGTTGCATTTTACTCAACCCCACCAAGGCACTTATGCAAAAAAGTTAGTGAAGAACCATCTAAAGGGGAAAGTTCCAGCACCTCCACCAGTAACAAGCCCCTGCTGAGTTCAGCCTCTCCCTGGCCAGGAACCCACTTGTTCTCAGAAGACACGTGGACTTTTTCCCTCTCCAACTTTATTCTTGCGGTTTTCTCTCCCTGGGATTCTCAATCCTTCCCTTGTCTGGTTGGCCAAATTCTTTTTCCTTCCTCTCTCCTCCCCTCCCGCCCTTCCTTCCTTGCATAAACGGTTCGTGAACTCCACTCCGCCAGGTGTTCCACTAGGCCCTGGCAAGGTGTGGATAAAAGGACCCTGCAGAGATGCTGAAGAGGGCAGGGAGAAGTCATACAAGAACATTAATCCACAGAATAATGGTTGGTATTGCTTGTCATTCCCACAGCATTGTGATGAACACTGTCCACACATCACTCTCTTCAACTCATATCAACACCGAGAAGTTTCGCCATCACTAAAACTGGCCCCAGTGTCACACAATGCAGTGGTGCTCGTCATACAACAAATGACTCAGCCAGAATTAAAGCACAAGTGACTGAGTTGTGCTCTGAAACATCGCTGACTACCCAGTTTCATAAGTAACCTTTCAGATCCATCTTAATCATCTCACCTGTTTTTCTTCTCTGAAAATCCCGCTCTTAAAGTATAATTACTTTCCCCCAAACTGTGTTTCTGTATTACTTATCACCAGGACTTCGTTAGGGCTATTTGCAGAAATGTCTCCTGTCTCATCAGGCTCAGAAAGTCCCCAGAGCAGGTGCCACCTTCGATCCACACGTGCATCTCCCCTCTCCCAGCGCAGCGCACCTGCTGAGCGTGGCAGGATAGGGTGGGCCCTGGGGAGGAACCAAGCTCCCGAAAACTTTGCAAAGGTCAAACTTGGCTGCCCACGGGCCTTCAAGTGTGTTTTGTTTGGCCTAAAAAAAATTGAAATAGTTTGCTAGCTTACAGAAATTAAGAGTTTATCTTAAATTCTGGATTTCCAGATTCTATTTAAAACTGGAAGATCTGAAACCCCAGGGCAAGCACTGCTGCATGACCACAGTGGGCTGGAGCTGAGCGGTGGCCATCCGCCCGGGAGCGGCCCTGCAGCTGCAGTCCCTGTGACCCCCCACGCCTGCTCTGCCACCACGTCTGTTTGATTCACTTAGGCTACCAGCAGGGCCCTGATCTGTCTTCCGTGCAATTTCTAAAATCGCTTTTTTTTGATGTTTCATCCATTCATTTATTCCTTCTCCCACCTTCTCATTAATGGAATGCCACTATTAATCATCTTCTATGTACCAGACACTGCTAAGCGCTCAGAGCCCATAAAGCTGTTGGCATGTAATTACTGAAAACACAGAATGAGCAACAACCAAACACAGGATGAGTAACTACTTCTCAGAAGTTTGCCCCCAACCACAGTCTACCACTGATAGGACTCTATCCTCCACAAATTGTGTAAACTATTCTATACAAAGAAGCATATCAGACACCATTTCCAACTGTTTTTCCCACAAGGAACACACATGTATATTTTACCACCAAACTCCCAGTAAATGAATGAAAACCTTCTATATCTAAAGTCTCTTAATTTCCATATATCCATATTATGATTATGGTCTACAAATAATATAATTTTTAAGGTAAAAAACAATTACAAGTCAAATTCAAAGCTATCAAAACGATGCCAATACCACTACGAATAACAGTAGACTATTCATGTACCACTGTTAAGCCCAGTTTACTAAGTAGAAGTTAAGAAAAGCAAAATGCCAAGGGTAGAAAGCCTCATTACTACATAAATATCAAATTATATATTTGAGGTATAACATAATTTCTCATCTCAAATAAATAGAGACTACTCAGGTCTATTGACAACTGATTTATAATCTTCACAGAGCTATTTCAGCTTGCGCATAAGAGGGTATTTACAAACTGCTATAGTGTTGTTTGTAGTAATTACAGTTACAGAGAAACTTTACCAATATAAAATCTTCAATGCTTGGGGTAGAGATCAGGGTCAAGTTTACCTTTATATTGTGATAGTTTATAAAAAGATTTGCTAAGCAAATATACTGAGTTAAAATGTTTGTTGAAAAAAAAAACTCACAAAACTGTTTACTTGACACAAATTTTAGAGTCATGAATTCCCAACAATGTGAGTGCTTTGTAAGCAAAAGCTGGGTACTGCTTAGGGAGGTATTTTGGTATAATAGGTACAAATCATTTTTTTCTAGTCTTTAAAGCAGGACTCCTGCTAGACAGTACCTTTTTACTCTAGTACAACTTACAATATTCATTTTAAAACAATAAAATATTGTTCCTGTAGAACATACTGTTTTTACTCTGACTTTTCATCAATTCAGACAGTTCTTTTCCCCAAGTCAACTGGCTCTACTTAGCAGTGTAAGTGCAAAAAAGAGGCCACAGTTAAGAGTAAATCCCAATTAGTCACTTAAATCTTCAACAGACACATCCATTATATTTAAAAAAAACCCATGCCTTAATAATGCAACAGTTGGCAGCAAAACAATAAATGCCCAAACATGATGAATAGCAGGTTAACCACTTCTGCAATAAAGGGAACAAGAAAACCAAGCAAGCGCATTTTGCTTAGTCTTGTAATAGATAAAATCATAGTCTGCAGTTTTATTTATCTGTTACATTAGAAGGTCACCCAGCACCTCAAGATAAATTGGACTGAGAATAAGTGGCTTACCTCTCTTGATAATCATTCATAGAAAAAGAAATGAGTTTTACGGTGCAGAAAATAACCTTAAAAACAGCTAAAATTGATAGTAAAATTGTGTCCTACCTGGGTAACTTTCTCTGTCACATTGTGTGTTCGATCTTTAACTTTGGGTGCAATAATGGTTTTATCTGAAGAAGGAGGGGATGTATTCTTTTTTTCAGTTTTGACATCTGAAAAATTCAGAGTGAGCTGTGGAATCTTGTTAATGGTGCTGTATTTATTGAGGTTTGAATCCGACGTGGATCCCAGGAGGCTTGACTTGATATGATTAAAAGGCCCTAAAAAAAAATTGGGACATATTTGTAAAAGCAATATTAGGAAAAACAGAAGAAGAGATGGTTTTAAATGACCTGTTAGTAATCCACTACCAATATGACCCTGACTCAGGTGTGACTAAATGCAGCCAGCTGATACCTGAACACAGGGTTTAGGGTCACAGTCTCCCACGTGGAGCAGCATGGAAATATCCAAGGATAAGATGGGGTTCTAGATGCACCCCCAGAGAGCAAATGGCAGCTTTAGATGTTAACTGGCTTCTTTCATTAAAGGCTGGAATAGAATAAGAAACTCCACTGCCTATTATTGGCTAAATTCTACCTTCAAAGTTTCTCAATAATGTCTTTTTAAATTTTAGGAATTATTCAAGGAAGAACTTTCATGTGGTTTAAGTCATGTTGGCTATGAAATTTCTGAATGGCTGTCTAGCCTGCTCCAGTTAGTACTACTCTCCTCTCTGTTTCATGACAAGTGACAAGCCACTTGGGTTCTTCATACGCTTGTATTACCTGCATGGGATGCTTCATGAAGCTTCTACGAGAGTTAAGTCCAGATGGAGGAATTTCAGGTAAGCCTGAGAAGAGCAAATGTCATCTTGTGTGTGTGTGTGTGTGTGTGTACTCTACAATACTATGTGGGATTTAAAAATCTTCCCTTTCTTTCTTTTTTTCTTGTTTATTTAGATTTAAGGCTGACCACTTTTTGAGGGAAAAAGAAAAACATAGTGGAAGCATGCTTTGGCAAACATAACTTAACAACTGAAGTGACCAAAGGTAGGTAATAAGACATGTCTGGAGTTGACAGTATCTAGTTACTTTTTTTTTTTCAAACCATGCTATACATTAAATACCCAGAACTTATTCATTTTATAGCTGGATGTTTGTACCTTTTGACCTTTGACCAAACCTGGTCACTTCTCACATTCTTTTCTTACAATTTGGTACAGTGTGAAGACTCTGTGCCCCTTGGTTGAGGATGTACACTGACCAGCTACCTCTTCTTTTTTGATGAACCTATTGTCTGTTGCTTATGGAGAGTCAAGAAATGCTCCAAAGAGTTTCTTATGCAATTGGTAATGTTAATTACACCATTATGTAGCTTTTAAAATTAGCATCAGGAAGAGTTTTATAAATATCCTGCCTCCACGAATTTTATACAGCTATGAACTTTCTGCCTTCTGAGTGCCTGAAACATACAAACTGCATAAATGAACTTGCTAGTCAGCAAATTTTGCCTTATGTTTTTTTTTACCCTGTTCAGAATGAAGTTAACACATTTTAGAGATCAAAATGTGCTTTATGCACCAAGTGAGGTATAAACCTTTGAAAATTAAATTTATAGACTGTGTATTTTGGACTGCAACAATCAATCAACTCAAGTCAAATATAATCCAGGAAAAAAAATACTCATCATTTAGTTCACATTTACCCTGGAGAAAAATCACACTATATTTGTTTATAAAAGTTTATATTTGGTTATTATAAAAGTTTGAAATGATTTTGAGAAATGTTTTATCTATGCAGCAAACCCTATGTTTCTTGAGGTGCATTTCTGTTTATTCCCTGAGTTTTATTATTGATGATGATGACCAAGTCCATCTGGGTTAAAAATGTCAGTAAGCTCTCTGAGCTTTTATAGCTCAAGATGTCCTCATTTGCACATAGATCCTCACTTTCTTTTCTATTTATAGGACAAGAAGAGACACAAGGGCCCAAAGTTACCAAATTAATCTAGCCTTAAGATAGGGCTTTGACAGAAATCCCATTCTTTGTAAAAGCCTCCTACACACACCATTACTTTACAGTTGTAACATATCCTAGATAGCGTTTCCTGATTTTGGTGTCATTCTATAGCTACACTCCAGACCTATCTCTTAGTATTTAAATTTGGTAAAATATTCTAGGACTTTAGACATCTTATAGTCTTTTTCTCAACTCTAATGTTATATTTTCACTCCTTAGTTAATTTTAATGCACGCAGGGGTACTGACTATAGAAGATTATAGATTATAGATTATAGCGATCATATGAGATTATAGAACACTGAGCTCAGATACACAGTTAAACTGTATTTCAAACCCTTAAGCCCATCTTTCAATTCTCTTTCTGTTATCCTTTTATATGTTGGATTTCTGTAGCAGATTGTCTACACAGTTGTTTAAAAAATTGGGTAAAAATACAGATCACCTGTGATGTTAAGACAGAAAGGCACTGTTACCTATATTTTGATTGTCTTTGTGACCAGTTCAAATAAACTCCACTGAATTGGCTGCACTGATAAAAAAGCGGTCTCAACTGTGACTGTACTTCACCATAAGAACATCTGTGGGGATATTTCTGTTTCTTACAGTGATAGGCGGCATCTATTCTCTCACTTTGAAAAATTGACCTGTATGTCCCAATGGGCGTTAATGTAGGTGAAAAGCCTATTTACAGCTTGGAGCCTTGAACCCGTTTCACGTGTAAAGCATACAATGTATTTTTAACATGCTTTTAATATTCAGTAAACTTTTCAGGGCTACAACTACCATGTAGAATGAAGATTTTTACATTGTTTTGTTCAGAACTTTACCAAAAGTTGCTCACCATTTTGGAAAATCAGACCACTTGGAGCTACAGTACTTGTGGCATTTGAGTTGCCAATACAAAATTTCAGACTTCAGGTTACCGTCTGTGTTCGTAGCTGTCACGTGCAAACGTGTAAATGAAGATATCTGAGTCTTTTTTTAAGAACAATGTTGGAATCAAATATTATTAAGTTTGCAGATAACTATAGGCATCACACTAAAATTATTAATAAAATTTATTTAAAATATGTCGTATTATTGTTCTCCCATATAGGTAAAATGATGTGGGATTAATGAAAAGAAATATATATTAGTTTTTAGGTAAAAAATAAACACTTGGCATGGGTTGTTTTGGGATTGCTGGTTGGTTTCCAGTCACACTTTGATAACTTCCTAGAGGTCTGCCACAGCGTCTCCATACTGTCTTTGTTCTTTTTAATTGAAGTATAATGGACTTACAATATTAGTTTCAGGTACACAACATAGGGATTCGATATTTTTATAGGTTATACTCTATTTAAAGTTATTACAAAATAATGGCTATATTTCCCTTCGCTACACAATATATCCTTGATGCTTGCTTATGTATGTACAGTAGTTTGTATCTCTTAATCCCATTCTGCTACCTCACCCCTCCTGCCTTCATTCTCTCCACTGGTAACCACTAGTTTGTTCTCTACATCTGTGCTCTCCATAATGTCTTGCTTGCCTTTTCTTCTTCTAATCCATCTTTTAGTTCCCATTGCCTATGAAGGCATACGGTTTGCAAGGTCTATTTTAAGTATTGAAGGATAAACATATGTCCTGACCTGTAGTTAGTTTTCTTTCTTCTGTGCAATGCATTACTATAGTATGTTATCATAAAGGGAATTATATTGACATCACACTGAAAAGCAAGAGCCAGCTCACTTGTGAGAATATCATACTTCCTCATTTTCTCCCCAGTTGATTTTTGTATTCTTCAATATTTAATTTTTGTTATTTCCTACTTTTAAAATTTATATATGTCTGATCTGATATTATTTACTCCAGAAGTGGTTTTTGTTATCTATCCATATTCCCACTCTATCATTTTATCTAGTACTTATATGGACTGTTTTATCATGTCTTTAATGTTAGTAAAACCACATTTTTTCCATATGTCTGATTATTGCATTATGTCTGCTAGTGTAGTTATATTTGACCATTAGCATATTGACAGAAATACTTTATTATAAATGGCTTTCCTTTTATTTCTCCTTTGGATTATGGTTCAGGAATCATGTTGATCTTTTAGATTTAGGTTAAATTATCTCTGAATGTCATTTCAGGATAGTATAACAAAATATTTGTTGAAACAAGGGGACATTAGTATGCTAGGACTGAGGAACCACTGGCCGACACACAGGTCATGCTCAGATTTGGCCTCAGAATATTACAACTTCATTGCAGTCTGTATTTTAGCCTCTCTCATTTACTAGTGGAAAATCTTTCTAAACTGTTAGTCTACTCTATTTTTTTTTTCCTTTTTAAGCTCTCAGTACTAGAGTTATATGCTACATTTTCTTTTAAATCTATATATTTAAAGAATTCAGCAGAACTTAAAATATTACTTAATTCATGCAAGCTTAGAACAGAAATTTACAACCTATTTCATCCTGTATAACAAAGGTCATTATGTTCTTTTTCACTGATTTTGAAACAGATGTTTATATGCGGGAGTCTGTTAGTGTCTGCAAGATGATCAGTGTTGGCTTAGGTTTCTCTGAACCTTATCTAAATTCTAATGAAAAAACACTCCACCCTTTAATTAAGAAAGGTATTAGTAATATCCTCATTTGACTAACGGTAAGCCTAAGCAGACAGAACACGAGGCCAAAAGGGAATGAGAATCAAAGACTAGAAATGAGAATGCAGGGTTTCCTACCTCCTAGATCTACAGTCAGAGAGGCCTTGGTTGAGGATTTAAAGGTGAAAGGCAGCCTCCCTGAGAGTGATCATAAACAGATGGCATTTAAAATTCTAATGAAAGAAAGGAGGGTAACCTGAAAAACAAAGTAAATTAATTTAAAGAAAATAAATGGGCAGAAATAAAGGGAAAAAGCAGAGTCAACAGAAAGGAATGTACAACTCAAAAGGATATGGGAGGAGTTGGTGTTCTTTAGAGAAACATTTGCAAAATGGATGATCAGATTAAATTTTCCAAAATACTAGTAGGAGATTGAAAACAGGTGACCAAGAAGACTAAACCAGCAGTTGGAGAAAGCTCTAATGTATTATAAGTGTCTGATTAAATATAAAGAGGCCAGGTTCCAGTTACAAAGAAATACCCTGCATTGAAAAAAATCAAGCTGGACACTAAAGCAACAACTGGGAAGAATTTTAGATTAAAGATGTTTTAAATTTTTATGATGAGGTTATTTGAATTTATCATGAGTTACACGATGCTAAAGGAGAATATATTCTCTTTTAGATAGTGCTGGAAATATAGCTAAGGACATATGATAAGTTTTTTAAAATAATGCTATTTAAAAAAGAAAATATTATTGCTCTTGAGGGCCATATGGGATGGGAGAGAAGAAAACCAAAAAGATTAAGGTTGTTTTGAAATCATCAGGTCTTTATATAGTATTTCTTAAGACATGAGTCTATTTGGCTAAAGTTTAATAAAACCCAAAATGCTGAAGTAGCTAAACATTAAAGAAAATGTAAAAGCAGTGTTTAGTAATTGGAATTTGTAAAAGACCGCTCTCAATTAGCATGATAACCAGTTTAACACTTAGAAAAATACATAAGAATTAATCACCAGATTATTGTAGTCAATATCTGTATTGTTTGTTTCAGTGCGTGACATATAATTTATGTAAGAAAACTGTCACCATTGAAAATCAATTGCAAATTCGTATAAGATCACACATATTTGGTAACGGCCAATGCAGATTATGAGATACAACTCAATTGATTTCCTTTGTGAGTCGGATAGGTTTTGTGGCTAGAGAGGAGGTGAAAGCTGTCATAAATCTTGAGAATAGTTTTGTTTCTGACTCATGCCAGATTCATAGACAAGCTGGAAACTGAACATACCAGTGCCAGTAGGATACAGAGTTATTTGGGATAATGAGGTAGAAGCGAAAGAGGGATAAAATTATATGAATGTTTTATTTACTAAATAGGGTTAGTGGGGTTAATTTTTATGATGACTTGGAAATCAGAATAAACAGAAAAACCACTAGGTTCTGAGGGGAAAATCACCTTGTGAGTGACTGAGGTAGGATTACGTTTACATCTCACATATTAGAAAGATTGTTTAAAAATATGATGCGCACTCTCACGCATAAAAACAGCATATGCAATGTATCTGAATTAACTTTTTCACTCTTTGATAATGTTTATGTTGGGTAGTTAGATAATTTGGGGCACCGGGAGGAGATGGAGGAGAGAGACGATGGTCTGGAAGATGGCAGTGTGCCTGCCTCTAGCATAAAGGGCTCTGACTTCTAAATAAGTGCCAGCAAGAAACTGGTTAGAACCTGACAGCCATGACTGTGGCAGCAAAACAGACTTAACCGGACACGATCCAATGTTCACTGTATTATAATTAACATTGCAGTCTGGGCCCCCTCCCATAGGTTTTTCTGGGTAGATCATGGATAAGAGCGTGAGCAAAGGAGATGGGCACACTTAGGCTCTCAAGGGACATGAACCATCAATCAATCATGAGAACACTCCTAAAGCCAGGATATAAGGCAGGATAAACAAAGAAGTGGGGCCATTTTTTTTCTCTCTCTTGGGTTGGCTCACCTTCGATTCTCAAAAGTGTACCATACTTTACTGACTTTTGCTCTACTAAGAAAATCCTTTGTTTATATCAGTCTTCCGTTTAAATTCTTTTTCTCAGATAAGACAAAGAATCAAAGTTTTTTCCTTCCCTCCCTGCAGTAACAGTTAAACTTTTAGATCTCTGAAGTCTTCCTTTAAAGAGTCAGAGTGTTAAAGGAATTTATTAAAGGGAAACAAAATTGATTCTAAGAAAGAAGGTTAAATGGACATTATTCCATTTTAGCAGAAAAGACTGAATACCAGTTTGCAGTTTTTATACTGTGGTTTTAAGTCAAGAATAGAAGAAACCAGCTAGTATCTCTGTCCACTCAGGATAGATGAAGGAAAAAAAAAATTTCAGCAAGAAAGATGTAAGTTAGCTCTTCACGTAACAGGCAGTGAAACAGATTTCCTGAGAAAGTTAAAGAATGGGGTCCTCTAGAAATAAAGACGCTCCTACCACCTGTGCAAGAGATTTAGCCAGTACTCTTGCCTGAGGGGAATAAACTAGACGATCTTGAAGACCTTCCAAGTCCTTCCAAATGCATTTCTAAATCATTTGTTTTATTTTGTTAAAGAAATTATTTTTGGTTGAGTTAGACACTGAAAAAGCTGTAATTATGCCTATGCATACAAAGATGTGTAGAAAATTTATTTTTTAATTTTTTAAAATTTTCATTTAAATGTGGTTTAGAAACAAGGCAAAAAAATTTTTTAAAGCACACTTACTGTATTGTCCTATATCTAATTAGCATATTAATTGCTCTATAAAAATCTTAAAAAGTCAGACACTGCAGTATTTTTTTAAAGTGTTCAAAATCAGAGCCTAAACAAACAATAAAGATATTGGGCATATTTACATTAAATTTTTTATTAAATTGCACATGTTTTATCTAATTTGGGAGTTTAACTTTATAAATATTAACATGTGAAAATTTTCTACCATGGTTTAGTTTTCTAATCTCAAATTCTGATTTTTCTGATTCATTTTTATTCAGACTCTTGCTTTTGAAAAATGGAGGATTGAGGAAATGGGTTGGAGATTAAATAGACTGGTTTGTAAGAAAAAAATAAAATTAATGTAGTTTGATAACTATGTAAGCTACTAGTTAGGAAGGTTAGCAAGCTCAACTTTACATTTATTAAAATTATATATTATTGAGAAAATTAGGTTTATTTCTCACTGCATTTAACAGATCACTAGAAAAATTAATGTCTAATAACTTATTGCTAATTGTTAAATGCTAAAGCTAATCATATTTCAGGCAGGCCAGTTGACAAGAGCTGTCTGTATCCTGTTTCTTGAGGTTATGTTCTGAATTATATCAATTCAAATCACTATCTGCAGTTGACGCTAATTTGCTTTTAGAAATATCAGAGGACAGGCCAAGGATGGAATAATCATGTATATGAAATCCCATCCTTCTACTGAAGGTGACCTGCATAGACCCTTTTTGAATTGCTTATAAAGTTGAGATGGGCAGAAGCTGCCATGATCTCTCTTATTTTCAAGTTACCCTGGGCTACTGACCAGAAAACATCTCTAGTTTCTAGTGCTATTAATTAATAATCATCACCAGCTCTGAATTAGTTAGGGAAGCACTTGAGAAATAAATATACAAAACGTCACAGTGATCAGAGTAGCAGTGACATACAGAAGAGGCCAAAACGGTGAATTCTAGGTAATGATGGTTACTGGTGGAGACGTGTCCATGCAACACACATGCACAGATGAGTCATTGTCACCATATGCACACCCACAGCAGCATGCATGGCCTATGTTAAAGGACTAAGCCCACAAAGTCTTGAACTGGATGAGAATAATATGATTATTATATTTTGTGATTCTTCGTATCTACTACAATATAGTAGAAAAACAGGAGTTCGAGTTTTTAGTCAAATCCAGATTTATCCAAAGTATTGCCCAGTTAAACATTATCCTACCATAGCTGTAGGTCATGCTAGTGGTTTCAGACTAATATAGGACACAATTAAAAATGATCGAAATGTATAATATAGAAAAATAGAAAACGACTGTCATGCATATACAGTTTACTACTACAGTAAGCTTAAAACCATACCCCCTGCCATCCAGGAACGTGAAACTAGTTTTAAGGAAACAAAAGAGGAAGAAGTGAAGTGATGCGGTCATGTAGCACTTTGCTTATTTTATTTAATCTTGTACTCACAAAGAATTCTTTTTGGCCGAAATAGGCCTATGTGCCTCTTTCACACTGAAATACATTTAGCTTAATATTTGATTCTTTCTGAATTATTTAAATATTTAGGAAGTCTTCATCGTCAACCTAGGCTTATACTTCTTGCAGGAAAAAGGAGTTCATAATCATTTTGGTGACACAGCTGAGAAAGTAACAATGTCTCCACCAAAATCAAGCCATGATGTCTCCACCAGGCATGTGGACTCGCTGAGGGCAGCATGATGTCGCATTGAACAGGGCATACAGCAGGCAAATTAACATGCCAAGTAAGGGGGAAGTCTGAGCATCGGATGATGACATTTGAGTTCATACATTACCTTTAACATTGCGACCATTGTCTGTTTTGAGCACATAAGGAAAAAAGAGAGAAATATAAAAAGAAGACTAAAATTATGTTATATGCACTAAATTACCTCTGTAACAATAATCAGAGAAAGCAGAATGTAATGATTGAAAATTAATCTTTGAAATTAACATTTTGTACTATTCAATTAAATAAAATGCATATACTAAAAATAATATCTGCCATCAGAAGCATTCATGTTCAAATATGTGAAACATTAATCTCACTTAAGTTAAATGGATTCCAAGATATACATTTTCTAATTATGAACGTTTGGAGAAAGCCAC